AAGGCCCTCCCCCGGGTAGTAGCCAGATGGCATTGGCTGGTAGACGGAACCCAGAGGAGGCCGACCCTGTGTGATCTAATGGGTCTTTGAGAGGTAATTGGCAGCAGGCGGTCTCTCTTTTACCATATGATGTCCAAAACTGGATGCAGTATTAGAATATGTGTGGTCTTATTTTTAATTTAATAAATCATTTTATTAAAATATTTTAAGTTAACAAAATCGGGACAGGCAACAAAGATACAAAGCAATTTAAAATAAGCAATAAACAAGATCCAACACACTTTAATTCTTTAAATTTCATACCTCCAAGATTCCTCTTTTTTTCTTTTCTTCGCTATCAGTGCACCCTGTTATAATGTGGTAGCAATCTTTACAGACTTTGTTCAGCTTATTGCCATCGTACTCAAGGTGAGCTTTATAATCAGAACATTTCCAGCAAACCACCTTAAAAAAAGATAAGGAAAAACTGAGTTACTTTGGAACATCAGTTTGCTTCCAAACATCATTTTCAAACCCCATTTGCCATGGTGATATTTTTAATAAAGGATTAATTTATTTTACAATAATAGTAGCCAAACATGAAATCCATCCAATGTTCTAAAACAGGATTCTTCGGAAATTTAGTACCATCACTCAAAGAATAACAAAATAACAGAGTTGGAAGGAAACTTGGACATCTTCTAGTCTAACCCCCTGCTTAGGCAGGAAACCCTATACCATTTCAGACAAATCCAACATCTTCTTAAAGACTTCCAGTATTGGGGTATTCACAACTTCTGCAGGCAAGTTATTCCACTAATTAATTGTTCTAACTGTCAGGAATTTTTTTCCTTAGTTCTAGGTTGCTTCTCTCCTTGATTAGTTTCCACCCATTGCTTCTTGTTCTACCCCCAGGTGCTTTGGAGAATAGTTTGACTCCCTCTTCTTTGTGGCAGCCCCTGAGAAATTGGAACACTGCTATCCTGTCTCCCCTAGTCCTTCTTTTCATTAAACTAGACCTACACAGTTCCTGCAACTGTTCTTCGTATGTTTTTTCCTCCAGTCCCCTAATCATCTTTGTTGCTCTTCTCTGCACTCTCTCTAGAGTCTCAACTTCTTTTTTACATTGTAGCGACCAAAACTGGATGTAGTATTCCAAGTGTGGCCTTACCAAGGCATAAAGTGGTATTATCACTTCATGTGATCTTGATTCTATACTTCTGTTTATGCAGTTTAGAATTGTGTTGGCTCTTTTGGCATCTGCTGCACACTCCTGGCTCATATTTAAATGATTGTCCACTAGAACGCCAAGATCCCTCTCACAGTTACTACTATTGAGCGAGGTACCACCTATACTGTACCTGTGCATTTTATTTTCCTTGCCTAATTATAGAAACTTACTTTTTTCACCATTGAATTTCATTTTGTTAAATATAATGAACATCAATGTCATGGTTAATTCAGGAATCCAAAAGTTTGTTTCTGAGCATATGAACACGTTCACCAAAGTATCACTAAACTTGGCCAGTCAAAACATATACTGTATACCAAAAGTACTATGCACAAAAATATTAATATGTAGCTTAACGCCTATGAATTACACAACTAAACATATCAGAAATAAAATTATTTCAACCAGAGATTAAATTGGTACCCTGAAAATATCTCCAAAGATAACCTGAAACCAGCTGAATGATTGCAGATTATCATTAAAGGATAATGATTAGAGATTCCAATAGAGGATCAAATAGCCTATGGCAGCTCAGAATAGAAATTTGATAAAGGGCACCAGCAACACAATAAAATGAAATGTTAAAATGAATTTAACATTCCAATTGTTAAAAGGAACCATTTACAGACATTTTTCCTGCATTGGCCATAAGGGGGCGGCAGATTTGGTTCACAACTAATTCTGACTTTCTGCCATGGCAAGTGTCGGCTGAAACAAAACAGCATTTAAAAGCAATCACCAGATGGAGTTTCTGAACAAGTTTTTGGCAGCTTCAGCAACTGTTAACCAGCAGATGTGGCTTTGTGCTTACATGCCCACAAGCTCGGCAATGATGTCTCCTCCTTGTCAGTGCATTAAATGGCTCTTTGCATTTCATACACATAGTCACTTCATTGTCTCGGATCCATCTTGGGGCTCTCTTACCGAGCTCAGCAGTCTCCAAGGAAGAAAAAATAAATAAATTGTGGAACATTATTAGAAGAAAAGGTAATTTTCTCTCTCTCCCTTTCTTCTCTCTCTCTCATCTCTTTCTCTCTCTCATCTCTTTCTCTCTCATCTCTTTCTCTCTCTCATCTCTTTCTTTCTCATCTCTCTCTGAATCTCTATCTTTCTTTCTCTCTCTCATCTCTGCCATTCTCTCTTTCTCTCTCATATCTCTTTCTCTCTGCCATCTCTTTTCTCTCCTCCCCCTCTCTTAGCTTTCTCTCTCTCTCTCATATATCTCTTTCTTCTTTCATATATCTCTTTCTCTCTCTTCTCTCATCTGTCATTCCCTCTCTTTCTCTCTCACCTCTTTTTCTCATCTCTCTCTTTGTCTTGCATCTCTCTCTTTCTATCTCCTCTCTCTCTCTCCTCTCCCCTCCCTCCCTCCCCCCTCCCCTTTCCAGTGGAATGACAGGGTAATCTTAAAACTAAATAACAGGTGTGGATGCTACCATAAACAACAGCTGCATATTTTTTAGGATTGAAAGATATTCCAGATTAGTTTGATGCTTTGCATTTTCCCTTGCTAGTAATAACCAAATCCAGTATGTAGGAAAAGGCAGGGAACGCCAACTATTAAAATAGCCATACAAAAAAAAAATCTGCTAGCAATTGCAGGAAAAGAAAAGAAAAGAGAAATAGATACTTAGAACCTAACATTCATGGCAGCTGGGCTTCGGTCTCATAACTACAGTAGACTTTAAACCAGGGAAAGATATTCAAATGAGCACAGCACTCTTTATGTGTGCAAGAAGGGGGATGAAGAGAATTTCTGCAAAGATCAGAACAAATGGATTAGCCAAAAAGACAGCTATGTTGTATGATAATTAGAAATGGAGTCTAAATTTAAATGTTTCTTATGTTTTGTTTGTTCACTGAATAAAGAATAGACAGTGATTATAGTATCTCTCTCTCTGGCATTTCTTTATATCTCCTGCTGGAATTCTTTCAATTTTTTCTAAAGAAATGCTTCTTTTCCAAATATTACCATATGTACTATCCTTTGATTCAGTTTTTTTAAAAAATAATGTGCAATAGAAAAAGGAGTGAGAAATGTTGAGCAGGAAGTCACACAGAGTTTTTAAAAGACAAAACTCTTGTTAACTCTTATCATGACTGAACAGTAATTGGAACGAAAGATTTAGAACTTATTTGGGCCTGTTAATAGCAGGCTGTCACACAATACATGCTTATCTGATCTCACATTCTTGACTTTTACCTCATATAACCATGTGCAAACTGAGAAATGGTGTGAATGATCATTTTGAATTGCTTCTGATCATAGCTACAATTCAAAGATGGTATTCTGCCGGTTCGCACCGGTTCAGGCTAACTGGTATTTGAATTAATCTGAACACAACCAACATACAATATTTACAATACAATACAACACAATACAATACAACACAATACAATACAATAGCAGAGTTGGAAGGGACCTTGGAGGTCTTCTAGTTCAACCCCCTACTGAGGTAGGAAACCCTATACCGTTTCAGACAAATGGCTGTCCAACATCTTCTTAAAGACTTGCAGTGTTCGGGCATTCACAACTTCTGGGGGCAAACTGTTCCACTGTTTAATTGTTCTCACTATCAGGAAATTTCTCCTCAGTTCTAAATTGCTTCTCTCCTTGATTAGTTTCCACCCATTGCTTCTTGTTCTACCCTCAGGTGCCTTGGAGAATAGT